AGGGGCGCTAGGCATCGAGAACTCGAGAGATGTGATGCAAGCTATGAAAGGGAAACTAGCCTAGGCTTATCCGACCGGCTCTTTCCTATGGAGTAGCTTTATGCATAACAAATATGAAGAGGTAGTTTCATTCAATAATAATTCCGGAGGCAAAGCATCATTGGTATGGAAAACAATCATCCCGCATATACAATAGCTGCTAGCGAGGTCTATGTGGGTGGTTGACGAAGGCATAATCAAACTATGGTTAGACAAATGGACAAGCGTAGATCTTCCTCGTCCATCGGGCAATTTAGGTGTGTCGGTAGCTTAGGTTATCACAAATTAGTCCATATACGAGCTTTACCACTATCAATAAGGCATGAACTAGACCTCATATCACTCGAAGAAAATTCACCAAACAGATTATACTACATGGACTCCATAACGAGTTAGTTCCGCACTAAAGCTTATATTGATACATAGAGGAGGAATGCTACAAAATATGAGTGGTGGAAGTCATTATGGAATAAGTGGTTACCAAAGAAAATAAGGATACTAGTGAAACGAGGAGAAAAAATTGGCAATCAAAGCGACATTAAATATTGCTTCATCAAGAAAAGAAAAGGAAATGACCAAAAGGGCTAAAAGAGAAATAAAGAAAAAAAGAGCAAGGGTAGATGGAGATTTTCATAAATCCACCGAGTGGCAATGAGGATAATTAAAAACAAAAGGGAAGGCCATTTATAATGCAAAGAAAAAAAAACGAGAGAAGGGAAATGATGAAAAAAGACTTGGGAAGAAAATTAAAAAGGGAACCGATCAAGGGCAAATGTAGATTTTCGCAAATCTATTGAGTGGAAATAGGAGTAATTTAGGGTAAAAAGTAAAAGTCCAAAAAAAAAAAACTTCATCCATAATAAATTGAGAGTTGATGAACAATCTAATAATAGTAAAATCGCTATGCCTTTTAATGTTTTTTGTAATAAAATAATTAAGACAAATTTTATTGCACGATTTTAATCGAAATCTTGGATTCTCTGTGGAAAAAAAAAAAGAAAGGAAAATGCCTAGAGAAAAATAATCATAATTGAATTTTAGTTCTATCTTGATGCGTTGAGTGAACATTTTTCTGCAATTAGGCGGATGAATAGTTGAAAATTGTTTGGGATTAGTTATGCAAGGAATTAGCCAACAATCTTCTATATGATGCTTATGGTCACCGATTATCTTCCTTTCAAGAGCCTATGGCTTGAAATTGGGTCAATGCTTCTTTGATTTTCAACATTGGCTCGTGTGTTGTTCACCGTACATTCATAGCATCTCGAGCTATTTTGAGACGGGCTTAGCTCATTAACTAAAATCCAAGCTTTAGTTTTATAAATAAGCAATTGTACAATATTAGCATTAGATCGAAGAAATTCTATGGTTAAGAATTCATGTAAAAGTTTGAGTTTTGTAAATAAGTAAATGGACAATATTTCTTCCACTTCTATACATCAATCAAGCTTAAACTCAACTAAAATTTTGAAATTGCAATCATAGAAAATGATTACATGTCATTTAAAGTTTTATTCTATTTTTGTATCCTCTTGACTTTGCTCCGAGTTAAAGGAAAGAAAGCATAAAGTATGAATAGCAACGAGATAAAACATTCTTGTAGGCATTGATGAACATGTGTGGTGCAACAACAAGGGTTGGGTAAGTGATGGCCAAAGACAAGGAGCAATGATTGAGACACCGGTAGCAAACTTCTTAGTAAGGTCATCCTCCGTAAGGTCAATCATCTCAATACCGAAGACTAAGCCATTGTCACAAACAAACAAGACAACCAAACCATAAGAAAATGGCCTAACACCAATCTTTACTAGTGGAATAGCCTCGGAAGAGCCGGCTTTATCGGCCTTCTTGATCAACTCAACCGGGGAGATGATCTCCACATTATCATTGTTAATCTTGGTTGGGATATTAAGCACTCGAAAAAAAAAAAAAAAGCGGCTATTAGAATAAAAAAGCACAACCACCAAAAGTCTATTACAATTGAAAAAGTAAATAAGAAAATGGCACCATCATAAGTTTGAGGTTATAAACCTAGAAGAAGGTTTGCGATGGGTGTAACCCTATGTTGCCAAGAGGGACAACAACATCATTTGGTGCAACTAGACCAACACGATGTCTAATGCCACACGCATTTCCAATTCCAAATACATAAAAAGTCTTGAAACATCCACAAGACAAAAGATAAAAATAAGCTTAAGCATTAAGCACTTCTTCAAAATAGCTAAACAAATTTGATTTTGACAACTTTTGATAAATAATTTCTTTTATTTATGTTTCTTTTTATGAGGTTACTTGTTGGTTTTGAACGTTTTCTAAAATAGAGTGTAGAAACAAATAATTTCTTTTAGTTCTGTTTTTTTTTTTTAACAAAAAATGTAAATGATTTCAAACTGATTTCTCGGTTTATGAGTTGATTTAGCAGCCCCTTAGGAGAAAGATCTCATAAAGGGCCCGTCAATATCAACTGCTATACTAACCCTAGGTTGGGCCAAGGACTATTAATAAAGCCCAACTTTGAACTTGAGATCATTTGTTAACCGAGATGGTTTCCTTCAAACGATGTGGCACGATCATTCATATTGCTTAGACAATAAGAGTACTATATATATATATATATATATATATATATATATATATTGAAAATCATGCTTATGTCGTGGAGAGTTTTACAAAAAGATAATGTGACACCCGGCAAGATACAAGAATATTCATATTATTATATTATTTAAAGTTTTTAACACTAGATAGTTGAGCCATAATTATTTTCTCTTTATAGTAATAGAGATTATATTATAAATAAGGGTAAAAATCATTCTATAATTTTATACTATATAGTTCTGATCATTTTAATTTTTCTGTTCAGTTACGGTGTAAAATATATTTGTTCCAACCCTCCATCTAATTTCATTACCTCATCTTGTTATGTAATAAAATTAACGTGGTGACACATACCATCATTTATTTCCTTCCTTTTATGATAAATCACACAGGTATATACTTTATTTATTAATTGGATGTTTATATAATATGGAAAAAGAAAAAGTTGCCACAATTTTAATGAAGGAAAAAAATGAACGCACCATGAGTCGTAAGCCCTGTCTGTTGGTCCACACGACTGTGGACTGAGTGAATCACTGTATTTTTGGCCAAGTTACTACAGCAATTGAAGTCATAGGCTCCACACATGTCTCAACCATTCGCACAAACGCAAATTAACCTATTGCTAAGCTATTCTGTTTCCAGAGCTGCATTTCAGCAGAAACGGGTCCAGGGACCATCCTGGGTCCGTCAACAATTCAACCACTCCATCTCTTTATAAATCCTTCAATGTAAATATAACCAGCCGATGCGGGACATACAGCATAGTGAGCAAAAAAGTAGTTCCATATCTTTGCCATTTCTTTCCTTGGTAGTCCTTAAATATAAAGGAAATACATATGTCGTTGAGAGACGTTTCACTTTATAATCTACATTTGTTACAGTAATAAATCATAAAGCATATAAGACAGAAGCTGTCAAGAAGAAATGCATGCTTTTTCTTCATCATAGCTCACACATTTCTTCAACAAGCCATTTTCTAGAATGTTAGTAAAAATAGCTTGACGAACATAGCCAACATGATCAGTATCCTAAAAATGAATATAATGCAGAAAACAATCAGCATCAGTAGTATGAATACATAATGCTATAATAAAAGAACATTTGAAAAACTGCTCACGATTAGCACATTCTTTTGCTTGTTAAGGGTTACAAAACTCAAATACAAAGTGCAGTCAATGAACTTGGCAGTTGCTTTGTACCTCAACATTTCTAATGTCAATTTACGAAATAAACAAATTTTAGCTAGAAAGAAACAATGTCCACTCATAAGGCTTCACAATTTTCTACCTACCATCTTTATAAACAACAAAAACCGAGTTGTGACCCATCAACAACACAATCAAAATAAGACAACCCAAATAAGATTTCCATCTCATAATGCTAATACTCTGACAAACCGCAATAATTAGCCACATTTTAGTGTTAATTTCTTAATCCAAATAAATCCCAATGCCAAAAATTATCACAAACCGAACTGTTAATTTTGATGATTTTAAATTGTCAAGTATTCCTAACAATCTTCACTCTAATAATCTAATCCAATTAATATAACAAAAATCCAAATCCTTCAAATTTCTAACTCTAATTCAAAAACAAAATAAAACTCTGATGTCAAAACCAATCAAAACCACAAAAAATCAAAAATTTGGAAATAAAAGAGCCTTTTTTACTTGCGGACCTTGTTGCTCTTTCCAAATTGTTACATGCCATAAGAAAAGGCACCAAAAGCAATGAGACAGATGGCCATAGCACTAGACCCTTGTTGGGGATTCTATGAGCAAATCGAATAGGATCTTAACAGTAATTTTTTAAAAAGAGATTGAAAGAGATTTCTATAAAATGAAAATTTGAAACCCTAAAAATGAAGAAGAAAGAGAAGAATAGAGGTTGAAAAAGATAGTATATTCACATGTGAGCTACAGAGATTGAAAAAGAGGAGAACAAAAAACCTGGAAGTCGAAGAGGGTGGGCGGGATAATGAATAGATTTTTTATCCTTTTAGAACTCAAAAAAAAAAGTGGGGTAGCTACTAAGAAGTCGGGTGATGCACCACTAGCCTACGGTTTCTTTTAGCCTTGAAAATATTAAAAGAAATAGCTGACAGCCTCTCCATCTACCTTGTTCTGAAGCTTTGAAGTGGTCGTATATTCCATTGCAAGTGCGTGATATTTTAGACCCGAACACAATAAAAATAGACAGAAAAGATAAATCAAACTGCTGGTATTATTGATGTTGCTTACAAGATACATGACTCCTTTTTATTTAAGAACTAAAACACTGCATATAACAAGTGACTCTTCATGAAACTAATTTATAGAGAATAAGACTTTCATCTAACATCTGTTGATTAATCCTGCTTTTCATAAGATGGTGTCAATTGCTATTTCCATGTTTTGACATGGCTGATCCGACACAATCGGTTTTTCGACTTCATAATTCATAAGGCTCAAGTAGGGAGCTACAGCTTGCACTTTGTCAACTTTGAAGGGTTTATTATTGGGATCTATTAATTGAACTGCTGGAGAAATGACTCCGTTCTTGGAATTTCGAACACCTTCAGAGAGGTCTTCCCAACCGTTCTCCAAGCTAATCACTAAGGGATTAGGGAAAAAAGATTTGTATGTTCCCTTTCGTTCAATACTATTGAGTATCATTTTCTCAATATATTTGAACCGTGTGGCCTCCGACACCATCTGGACTGAAAGTAGAAGAAGTTTGGCCTCAAGATTCTCCTTGATCTGTTGCTTCCCAAAGACAGAAAGGATGGCAAATTTTAGCTTTTCAATCCCCAATTCAACTTTTGATCGAGGATTAGCTTTCCCTTCTATTCCTCCATAGGTACTTGGGTACTTAATAGGTAAGCGTTCTTTTGCATCTTTCCAAAGAGAATCCTTTGCAATCTTAGAAGCATCGGAAAAGACATAGCTCGATACTTATCATCAAGATAACCCATCACATATACATTGTTGACATCTAGTGCAAGCGTGATAGATTTCTCCTTTGTAACATTCAGCCCAACTAATAGAAAGCGCTGCTCTGGATCTTTAGCCTTGGAAGGCTCAGGCAACATTGGTATGCCATAGTACTCTTTAGTGCCCTTCAGTTTACCCCGCAAAGATGACACAAATGTTGTGTAGCTTGACTTGCTTGCAGTTTCAAGATTGAAATTCAATGTTTTGTAGCTAACTGGCACATTTGCTTTTTCTAACGTTGAAGAGCACACCCCCCACTGTGGTATAAAAACAAGACAGAACAAAATCCACAATGCTGCCATAGAAAAATATAACGAGAGATGAGAAACTGCTATTTTGACAACACAAGTTTGATCTCAAGTGTTTTTGTTGCAATGCATAACTCCAATCTGTCACCTTAATTTATAGTGGCTTTTTGTTCCAATTCTATCACAAGATTTCTTGTATGTTTGTTCTTCAAACCAAAATAGCTTAAACTTTTATCGTGGGTTTGTTGAAAATATGCCTTAAATATCACTTAATTTTATGGTTTTTTTTGACAAAGTTGTATGAATTACAACATCTACTCATTTGCGGTTATTATCATAAATAGCTCCTGACATTCTTTTAGCATCCGCATTAAAAATGAATTAACCTCCATTCTCCTCCCCCTTCATTAAAAATTTTCGTTCAAAACAAGGTTAAGATGCCATTCTCCTCCATCCTCCTCTTTCCTAAACAAACTGTTAAATTATAATTTACAATGATCACTAGGATTTACAATTTCAAAGATTTGTGCTTCACAATCTAAAGGATTATCATTCAATGTGAGAACTTTCTCTCAAAAGTTTTAATTTATTCAATTCTTGAAGGCTACTTAAACAAGTAAATTTATTCAATCCTTAGATATGGATGTTTTGTCTTTAGATTAGTCATTAACTAATCAAACTGAGAGATTAAACCTTTTAAGATGACCATAACACTACAGACCTAGCCTATCCGATTGGAGAGGGATAGTATAGCTAGACTTAATCAAGTAAATTTAGCCTATGTTATTAATATTGGGACAAAGGCTTGACGGTATTTACACTCGATTGAGGGTAAGGTTTTCCTGGAATGCCAGTCGACTATGGAGTCTTTACAGCTGCCCTTCCACCTCACTCGCAGTTAATTTGTGCTTAGTAATTAAGAAAGATAGGCCTCTGATCCTATAGAGGTCATGGAATTGAAATAGACGTCATGCATTATAATTATAAGGAGAGGCAGTAATTTGGTGGTAAATTTGCTTAACACACAACATATCATTCAAACAAGAGTTTTATTGACTCAGGGATAATTTTACATATAATGTAAAGTTTTATTCTATTTCTGTATCTTCTTAATGCATAGTGGGGTCATTCTTCCAATGCTATCACAAGATTTCTTGTATGCTTGTTCTTCAAACCAAAATAGCTTGAATTTTTATCGTGGGTTTGTTGAAAATATGCCTTAAATATCACTTAATTTTGTGGTTTTTTTTTTTTTTGACAAACTTATATTAATTACAACATCTACTCATTTGCGGTTATTATCATAAATAGCTACCCTCTCCCCTTCAAAATCGAACCATAAAATTCAAGAGAAAATTTCTAGCTTCTGAGAAAGGAAAATTAAAAGATTACTTGGTCAAGTGAAGAAGACATGGCAACCATTTAATATGAATAAGTTGGATCAACTCATGAGGGCATTGCAGAGTTCGTAGGTCGTCCAGCTCATGTTGATTTTGGTGGCATCCACTTGCCTGGTTTGGAAAAGGTCATCCAGCCCATCGTTTCTCAGTTCTAAACTGTTGGCGTTGGGAGCTATAGGCATCTAACATTCTGCTGTTGTATTATTAAAATAAATACCATTCTGCGGAAATTTAAAGATGCTGAACCTTTTTTGATTTCGGAAAATAAATACCTGAAATTTCCAGTGGGAGAGTTTGGTAAGGATTTGATTTCGGCTTGTTTTCTGGTATTGTTAAATCGGAATTCGATAATATTCGGTGGTGTTGACCTTTTTGCATTAGGTCATTGTGTTTTACTTTCTGCAAAAACTGCAAGTTCTTTCTTGTCAGGCACAAACATGGATCAAATTGAATTCACTAGAGCAAGTGTGTAAGATGCCTTAAAAGTAAAATGTTCCAGATTCTGGTCGCTTTCACTGATGGGAATTGGCTATTAGGCACTTCTTTGCAATTATGTTTCTGAACACAATCTTTGTTCGCAGTTAATTATGAAAGACAGGCCTCTGATCCTATAGAGATCATATAATTGAGATAAACGTCATGCATTATAATTATAAGGAGAGGCAGTAATTTGGTGGTAAATTTGCTTAATACATAACATACCATTCAAATAAGAGTTTTATTGACACAAGGATCATCTTCAACTTCTCTACGTCAATCAAGGTTAAACTCAACTGAAATTTCTAAATTGCAACCATAGAAAATTATTACATATCATGAAAAGTTTTATTCTATTTCTGTGTCCTCCTGACTTTGTCTTTGCTCCAATTAAAGGAAAGAAAGCACATGGTATGAATAGCTAAACTTGGTCAACATCTGTTTCAGCTTCCTCATCTTGCCTGCACACATTCTTGTCCTGGATTGAAACCAGGCTCTCCTTGTAAGCATAAACTCCTTCACACCATCTCCGTCCCTGAAATGCAAGATCCTTTATTTCTCTCCTTATAGGGTCACATAAGAATAGATTGTAATCAGCAAATTCCAGTAAAAGAATATTCTTCTTCCAATGACCAACTGTACGGGGAACTTTTGAAAAGGGACCCATAGTAATTTTTTTGGACCAACACCCCTCATTCATTGTCCATATATCAAAAACCTTCTCCATCTCATGAACAGTGAACAACGCAACAGAGTCGTGGTATACTGCAAGACTTTTTAAAGCTGGTTTCTCATAATCTGGTACCTGCATCTCTTGAAACTCATCACTAGCCATGTCAAAAGAAATGATCACTTCAGAATTTTCATCTTCTTCACATGATCCCAACCAGTAAGTAATTCCATTCACAAAAATGTAGCATCCATTGTTTTGTAAGTAATAACATTGTGTCAAATCTCCAAAGTATCTCCAAGAATGAGTACCTAATGAGTACACAAGGACTGACAAAGGATACCTGAAGTCCTTACCTCCTTCTTCATCACTGCTATATCCTTTAATAACAATCACCTTGTAATCTTTAGTTATTGGATCTAATCCAAATCCATAATTATCAAACCAAAAATAACTAAAATTAGATGGAAGATCAGGCTTAGTTATTAATGCAGGTAGAAATCTCAATTCATTGATTGCAGGATTCCACAAAGCACGATTATCATAGTCCCATAGATAATATATTCCATCACAAGGACCACAAATATGTGAATTTTTCACCGGCATAAAATCTAGTGATTCAGATGATAAAACTCTGGGTGTTTCATCTATCAACAACTCACGAAGTTCAAGTTCAGCTTGACTTACGTAACATTGAGTAAGGAGACAGTCACTGTCACTGTTGCTGTAGTAATTCTCCAGATGCTTGGATATGAATTTGGAACTTGTAATAATAGCATACCATAATTTGCAAACACTTTTGAATTGCAATAGAGTTTTCACAGGCAGCCAAGACAAAATCTCGATTATCACATCTTCACTCAAAAGATCTCCATTCTTGATTGCAATTACCATTGATTTCTCACGCTCCTTTTCACTTCTAAAAATTTGAAGATAAAAACAAAAAAATCAGCTTCTGAGACTTTAAACCTAGGACGTAAAAAATGAAAAAGATGACAGCCCTAATACAAATATAAAAAAAATCTCACCTCTCTCTTAAAATGCGATTTAAGCCGTAATGGAAACTTGACCAAGTGTAGCGTTGCAAGGAAAGAGCCATTCCTGCACCCATCACAATCAGTGATATTCTTCAACAGTTATGTTCGGTAGGAGTAAGAAAACAACATCAATACACAGCACAAGGATAGCTAAAATATGAGTAAAATTAAAGTTTGAACAAGAAAAATAACAGCAGAGAGTGAGGAAACCTTCAATTGTAACCAAAGAAATTGATAAGCTTGAAATCAAGTTTTGCCAAACGCCCCAATTTATATCTACAAAATTTCTCCAAAGAAAAAAAAAACACAATTTATTTGAGAAATTTCAAATCAAAATGGATACCTGGAATTGGGAATTGGAAAGGAACAGGGTTGAACAAAATGGAAATGCTTCCTTCAGCCCATATAGCACCAGATTCTATAGCAAAGAAGTTGCGATGCCTCTTTAAGTCTTAAATGCGAAGGAAACCCAGAAACTTATGATTGGATTCCAGCTGCTGCTGATTTGGCACCGAACCCTGCTTGCTTGCTAACTTGGAAAAAATAAATAAAAATGGAAAGGGAAATCCTATTAACTTCAATAACATCGATTGTAAAAAAAAATAAATAAATAAAAAATAAAAAATCTAATTAAAGGGCAACAATTTTCAAAAGTGGAAATAACATCATCCTTCTTTTTTTTTTTTTTCTTTTTTTCCCTTCATCTTCTTTTCGAAGAAAGCGTATTTTGTTTCAAGCAAGCCCAGCATGAGCGATGCTAATGTTACGTTTTCAACCTGAGTGTTTTTTTTCATTTAATATTTTACACTCAATTTCTAAACATAATTTATTTATTGTAAAATATTATCAACTCATAAATTTTTATAAAATATTTTGTAAACAAAAATTTATTTACAGTACCATCAAATATTTCAACTACCGTCACCACCGCATCACTGCAACCTTACCACCAATGCCACCCCATCATGCCACCACCACTTTAAGCACTATCATGACTCCATTTTTACTTTCACTGCTACCACTACTCTCCCTTCTCAACCCATCTATAACCCCAATCAATCACTGCTACTACTTCATTACCATAACACATTATAATTCTACTATTACCAAATATTTAACATCATTACTTACCAATTATCATTAAAAAAAAAAAAAAATTATTCTCATGCGAGAAGATATTTTAAATATTTTTTATTTATAAAATATTTTATGCAAAACAAAAAATCATCCTAATTAATGTTTGGCGTTAAAATTTAATAATTTTTAAATAAAATCAAAATATTTACTGAATTAAAATAAATGTTTTCTATTTCACATTTAAATTATTTATCTAAATTTTAATAATTCTGAATTAAAATAATTAATTTTCTATTTAAAAATTATACAAAATAATTATAATTTCATTAAAATAAAAATCAAGATAGTTAAATAAATTGTCATTCACATCTAGACCCATTAAAAATAATAAGA